AATAGCTCCTATGAGAATGATTACTTTATGATTATTTTTTTACACCTATTTCCCCTATATGATTTTAATCTTAGTTTAAAAATATCAAAAGATTAATTTCTATTGGTTTTCAGAAATCACCAGCTCTTGTAATTGCAAACATTTTGAAATTTCTCTTGGGATAATACATTTCTAAATCTTGGCAGAATATGGGCTTGCAGATGTTTCATAACTTTGGTATTTAGTTTTTAGTTGTCAACAAGGCGATAGTGCACTTTAAAAATAACATTAGAAACAGTTCTTCTGTTTCTGTAGATGTATAATCTGAGCCATAAATACAGCAGGAGCTTTACCAGGAGCCATAAATACAGCAGGAGCTTTAAGGTTTTCAACGAGATATGTTCCACATTTCTCATTAAATGCAAGCTGAAGTCCAGGACTCCTCCAAATATTACTAAACTACATTTCATAAAACCCTAGCCAACAGTGAAAGATGTTAGAAATTGAAGTTCAGTTAATAATTTAGAGGATCATTGGTTCCCTATTTCTGCTTTAATCAGTATTTCCATGTGAATAGTACTACTCATTAAACATTCAATACTGTAAACACTTTACATAGAAAACAAAAAAAACCCTATAAAAACAAACATCATACAACTAAATTTTAGAATTACATTAATATTATATGGTGACAAAACATATACTATGTTTAAAACCCTGCGACTGTCTGAAAAAATGGTGCATAGAGAAGGTTTTACAGTCATTGTACTGCTATCAAAGATCCTTTTTCAAACACCTGCCAAGCTAATCTATTAAATTAATAGAATCTACGACAATTTACGATGACAGTCATAAATAATAGGCAGGTCGATATAGAATAAAGTGATGCTTTTAGATATTTTAGCCCCATACTGGATGTCTGCCAAAGAACAAACTGGTGAAGTTGATCTACAAAATACATTCGAGGTTAAGTATTATTCCATCAAAGGAATAAATAGGAATCTAATGTATCAATGAAATGACCTTCTTTTTGACCTTATATATCAATAAATAATACATAATTTATAATACTTTACTTATATGTGCTTTGGATTTTTATATTCGGTACCGTAATGTAAAAATTTTAAATGTATCACTGTTCCTGAATTTTAGCAAACCTATATTTTTGTAGATAAACGGGTAAATATCTAGTATATTACCTTTTTCAGAGTTTTACTATATAGCAGTGATGGCGAACCTTTTAGAGACCGAGTGCCCAAAAACTGCTTCCGCCCCCATCCCGCCTGTGCTCCGCCCCATCCCGCCTGCTCTGCCCCGCTCCCTCCCCGCCCGCCCGCAGGACCACTCACCACTTCCACGGCCCACCGCAGATCGCCAGGCAGCCCAGCAGCACCATGGTGGCCACACCATCCGCCCATACCGCACAGCATCAACTGCGCACGACGGGGTGTGAGGGCGGAGTCTTGTCCCCGCTGCCATGTCCTTGGCTGTGCTGCTTTGCACGGGCCGCGCTCGGGGGTGATTCTCCTTCAGGGGGACTATTGGTGAAGAGGGGGTCACGGGGGAGTGGGGCTGGGGCAATGGCGTGCGTGCCCACAGAGAGGGCTCTGAATGCTGCCTCTGGCACGCGTGCCATAGGTTCACCACCACTGCTATATAGTATCTACTGGCACCTTGGCACCTACATATAGAACCTTGTGCACCTTGTGTTAGTTTGTAAACTAAGCAGGTTTGGCTCTGATTTGTACTTGGTGGGAGACTAGAAGATAGCAGTACCAAAAGAGAGTATTGCTGAAAAGAAAACCACATGTACTGATATGTGTCCAAAAATCCACTAGGAGTCAGGTTTGATTTCAAGGAAATTTTCCTGTTGATCAGTAGAGATCACTTTTTCAGTGATTTGGACTATTTTTTTTCCTAATTTAAATTGAACCGGATATACTTTAGACAGTAACCTTTTTCACTTCATCAGATTGTACCAAAATTTTGAAATTGTGAAAAACTTATAGAAATAATTAGAAGCTATTTCTATGAAGAAATTTTTGCAATCATTTTCTATAAACAGGAAAGTAGAAAGAAGAGAAAAATCCCTTCTGCTTTGATACTATTCATTATAAATAAAGAATTCTATTCTATTTCTTTTTGGTGTCATAACATTAATGAGATAAATATTTTAAACCTATAATTTCTGATCCTTTTCCATCTGCTTGTGTGTGCATGCGCACTGTTAAATCAATTCTAGTTCTTGTAGTTTCAGCTTTGCAAAATTAAAAATAGATACAAAGCTGTACTTATGTTTTAATATTGTATTTCAGATTGGCACAATCTTAAATTAGTATGAACCTACTTTTGGCCTACTTACTAGGCCAAAGGGATGGATAATGTGTTTTGAACTCTATTCCTGAGCTAATTTCCAGCATCTTTTACCAATGATTATGTTGGCTATGGCTATTCAGCAACATCTGGAAGGCTATACATTTTATAGACTGGGAGGAAATAAAGTCCAGTGGATATTCTAATGCTGCTATGAACATAAGATTTTTAAAAAAAAATTGTACCTATTTGTGGAAGTACATTCCTGAGAGTAGATTTTGAAGCCGTGAAATCATTTGAGGCAATTGCAAAAGTTGGGTGGGCTATGTCTGACAACAATTGCAATTCTTCCACTAAACATTGCTGGACCAAGTCTGTTCAGATAGGTTTTTTTCTGTATTAAGCATTATTTGATATATATGTATAGTAATAAAAGTTGGTTTACAAACGTTATGTTCTATCCCAATCAGTTAACTATAAAAAGTGGGCCTGTTAGTTCATTTTGAGTCCTTTATGATTAAATGTGCTCTTTATGGAACCTGTCTGATCATCTCAGCAAAGAGCATATTACACAATATACATTGTTTAGAAAATAAGATAGGTTACTTACTTCCTCTTCCTCTTATTGAATTAGTTTAAACTGCTAAAAACTTAAGTTTTCACATCTAAAGCATAATATTTAGCAAAGTCTTCTCTAACAACAGTTCCTTTAGATGCTGTTGATTACAAACCTATCAGCCAACTAAGAGTAAAAGTGACAGAAATTAGAGGTTATGTAGTGGTTTGTATGATTCTTCCTCTAGGTAATAAAGACCATGTTTAGTCCAAACTATACGGCAGGATGAAATCCTATTGTGGTTAGAGTATTGTGCAAACTCAGTTTTCTCCCTAGAGAAATATAATATATATGGCATCCCTGCCACAACCATTTTCCTTATCTTTAAATATATTTTAGGCAGACCATTTGCACAGTATTTTAACTATTTTTAATTTTATGGTTATTCCATTATGATCATTTTTATTGTTAAGACAGTTTAGTACTTTATTTAAAACTAGGAGATAAGATGCACCTCTTGGGAGTCTCAAGCAGTGGAGACAAGTAAAATGAGGATTTGCTCCTATTAACTAGGTCTCTTGAGCACATTTACTAAAAGCCATCTAAACAGAACCCTCCAAAAAAAATGCTAGTAAAATTGTAGAAATTTGTTATGAATCAGAATGCTGAAGTCTAATTGATCTTCTTCCTCATGCTGTTACATTTCCTGCACTTGAAGGTCTCTGCTAGTATCAGTTAAAGATTCTAGAAAGGTTTTCATAACATTTTATTTTGATGTCCTCTATTTGCATTTCTGAATTGTTGCTTCTTCTGCATGCAGAATGTTTTATGATCGTCACCTTGTTGCAATGCAGTGGTTTCACTCCTTTTGGTGTGAGTCACTAAAGTTTTTTTCCTCACCAAAGGAGGGAAGATCTGTGCCAGCCCATATGTCCTTGTACAATATATAGGGGGGAAAAAATAGCTGACTTCAAAATTTCAGGTGGTAATTTCAGATTTCATGACTCAATAAAGGCCTGTGCTAAAATAACAGGAGAAAAAGGGGAAATAATCTCAGCAAACCTCAACAAACCCTTTAGACTCATAGAATTGGACCTCTGTGTCCCCCTCCTCCCACAACCGTTTTAAGGCAAAAATCCAAAATGAACCATTTTCAACTAATATTCGTCCTGATTGTGCCTGGATGTTCAACAATGGGCACTCATCTTTTTGTTTGGTGACCGATTCTGTTGTTCAAACTGCTGCCCTGAAGTTCTTAACATTTAGTGAGAAGCTACCGTAAGTAGTTTATTGTGTGATACAGCGGTTGTATTATTGTGCATCCTACACTCTAGGATGATAAGAGAATAGATATTTTGGATTTAAAATATTACCCTTTCAAGTATTTGACACCAGTATATCTTACCTGTCTTCTCAATAAAAGCCATCCCTTTTATTGGATGTTTCTTATGCTTAAGTAATCCTGTGCCTTTCTTAAGCTTTATATTGTCAGATGCCCTTTAAGAGCATTAGAGACATAATTTGCTTTCCTTGTATGGTTCCCTATTTTAAACAGAGACCACTACTTAATAGGTTTGGTGCTTTATATGTCCTGTTGGTATGAAATTTATTGAAAAAAACGACTTCCCAGAATGGTAAGATTCTCTGATGCTTTTCATTATCAGCCTCTTTCCACCTTCCATGTTTATTATGTGTCTGCACAACAGAGATTATGGTTTATATGAACAGCTTTATGTATGTGGGTTGCCTGTTATATAAATATTGTGTTTATGGAACAAATGTTCCCCAAAGACCAAATTACTATGAATTTACATAATAGAAGCATAGCTAATTTTAATGTTGCTTTGTGTGACTTGCCATGATACAAATTCAGCCTATTCACTTAATGGCTCTATAGTGTGCAAATCTCCCAAATGGGCTGGTAATCAAGTAAATGCTATTGATGTGAATGTAGTCACTTGAGTATTTTATATTAACTGCTTGCAGTATCCCCTAGAAAAATTACTGTGTTGGATGGATTCATTCCATTTTCTCCCCACTGAATTGTATATTAAGTTATTGTCAAAATCATTTCCCCAGAGTTGACAACTTTTACAGCTGTTAAGATAACCTGGAAATGAATCAATTATTTCCGTTTTTCATTGTTTTGCAGTTTGAAAACAATCTTGGTGGGGAATCCTCTGGACAACACAGTGGACTTGTCTGGCATCCCTTTGACTATGAAGGAATTAGATCGGCTTATCTCGTACCTCCAGCACAGCTCTGAGTATGTTGAAAATGTGGAGCTTTGCTTCACGGAGCTGACAGATGAGATTTTCCTCCAGCTTTTGCCAGTTCTCAGTGCCCTACCTCGTCTCACAACTCTTTCCCTTAATGGCAACAGGCTTACAAAGGCCGTCCTCCGGGACCTGACTGAAGCTTTGAAGGACACCAGAAATTTCCCCAGCATGACTTGGATTGATCTGGGCAATAATGTGGACATATTCTCTCTGCCACAGCCCTTTCTGGTTAGCCTTAAGAAACGAAGCCCTACCCAAAGCAATCTCCCAACTATTCTTGAATTTGGTGAAGGTCAGGTAAGTGACCTTGAGAGCCAAGAAGGTCTTTCGTCACAGGATGAAGACCAAAGTGATGGTGGCTTGGAAGACACTAAAACCAGGCAGGTATGGACAGGTGAAGCTATTGAGGTTAAGCTGCTGCCAAATCAAGAACAGATTTCTATTGGTTTGTGTCAGACATGAAACAGTGGCCTCTCATTTGCCTAGGATGTGCCAAATGGATCCTTTATAACCAAAGGATCTTGGCCAGTTTATGCTAATGAAGCTCTCTTCTGATAAAAACTTTTAATTCCTTAACTTGCAGGACCAAAAAGGGGAGGCCAAATTACAGTTTGCTGCAATTCACATATTAATGATTTGCTACAATTTGTACCATTATATAGAATTATACTGGAAAGGATTATTTACGCTAAAGTCTAATTACTTGCTCAGTGCAGCATCCAAATCAAAGCATCCCTTTAATTCCTGAAACCTTGTAGTTATTAAAGGGATGATTGCTAGTTGACTGTTCAGTCGAAGGTATAAGAAACACACAAAACAATGCAATGCCACTATTGAGCCTGGGTTTTTTTTAGGTTAAACACTTTTAGTTAAATACACTAATCAGAATTTTCATATTAGGTATATAAATAATTCTGTACTCAGTACTGAGCTTTTACTTTCCAAATGAATTACTTTGAATAGAAGCTTAGGTGGGAAAATGCCATGTTTGGGTAGAAAAAAAATTAATCCCATGGATTAAAACAGGAACATGTTAATCAACTCACCAAAACAAGTTTGAATGTCTCACTGAATAATCACTGCCAAGATGGTAACCATCACTACTGTACCTTCTGCATTTCATTCTCTCCCAATTTATTGTCTCCTGTCCCAAATAAGCCATGGATGTGTACCTATCTCAGGTTATGCCATGAATCTAATGAATCTGGCTGTAATCCATGAGTTTTATTTGTAAAGTCTTAAGGTGCTACAAGATTGCTGAGCTTCAAATGTAATTTTATAAATCAAAGCAGTGTGAGACGGCAGGTCTGAAAAACTTGCACCTTCTGAACTCCTGCCTCTATAACGAAATAAAATTTAAATTCCACAAAAGAAAGACACTATGCATTGGTAGATGACACAGTAGATTGCATTGGTTAATAAAGCAAACAAATCAGTATGAATGAAAAAAATCCCCATTGGTGCTTTCCTGGTGGGGAGGGAGTGCATTTTCTGGTTAGCAAGACCTTGCTCTAGGCACCAGGGGATGAAATGTGGGTGATGGCAGCCCCAGGCATTTGTTGCAAGTTGCTATAATTACACTTTGTGGAAAAAGTGCAACTTTCAGTTACTCTGGATTTCATCACTGTGGCACAGAAGAAGAGACAATAGAATCAATTCAGCTCTATAGTGTATTTCCTGATGTTCTTAGGTACTTGGATTACATACTTAGAGGAGCTCAAGCCACCAACCAATCCTTTGCAGCACTTGACGTCATGAAGTAAATGCAGGCTTTGTCATTTTTCTGAGCTACCCCATGAAGAATCTTGCCCAAATTAACTATCATGCCAATCTCGTACGAGCTTTCAATGATATAGTTTTGGTACATCAAAGCACTTCATCCTGGCAGGTTTGAGGAGCACCCTAACACCCTCTCAGAGTGGGCTGAGTGGGTTAGCAATTGCTAGGACTAATAATCTACTTTAGGGATGAGGTGTGGACCTGACCAATTTTCAGGATCAATGTTTTACCCTAAAACCCCATTGCTATTGTGCCCATTTTTGAGTACTTGCATGTTTTCAGTAGTGTCAGTCTGGTACTTCATAGAAATCAGCAGCTCCATATTGTCCTTGTTTGCATGTAGTCAAAGTCTTTTATATGCTTTGTCAAGAAATAAAACTTGTTTGGAAGGTTGTCTTGTTTTTCCTAGTGAATGGGGAGCTAAATCTTGTGCAGCTGCTGAACAGAGCTGGGCAGTCATTACACTGAATTATACAGAGGGTGGGTAGTGAGCATCACCACTCCTAAAGTGTGAAGTTATGCCTTCCATCACGCTTTTACTCATTCATTCCAATCCCATTAATCCAAAACACAATATGAAAGCTTAGTTAAAGTTTGCTTGGTTTCTTTGTAATTTATATCACATGAACAGTCTGAATATAAATATAGGAAGACTTTCTTAAAAGGGGAGATAAAGTAGGGTGTTGTAAAATTGCATGTCAAAATAAAAGTAACATTTTACTTTTTATATCCCTCAACTGCAATGATCAGGAAACTAGGGACTTAATAATAATAAAGTTGGAAGCGACCTTGGAGGTCATCGAGTCCAACCCCCTGCTAGCATAAAGCAACTCAAAATCTGCAACTGGAACTAATTCCTCCTTCTATGGAGTTGATTTAATAGTGCAAAAGACTTTTGCCCCAATAGGAAACTAGCCTAACTTACAATTCCAGGGAAAAATTAAGAGAATAGACATTATACAATGCATCTGTTTATGAAGCAATGATTTATTATGCTCTGAAGACAGGCAATTGCTTAAGTGTTATTTGCTTTTATAAATATTAACATTTTGTGCGCTTCTTAATAAAAGCCCACTTGTGCTGGGTGGCAATATCCAAGGTTCCTCATGCATCCATCTCTGGGTTTATGTTTATTTAAATTTATATACCGCCCTATCTCCCTTACAGGACTCAGGGCGGTGAACAGGCGATAATAAAAATCACAATAAATATCTATTTTAAAATCAGATTAAATAAATAAAGGCCTGCTCTAAAATATCCCATATAAAATCTGTATTAAAATATAATTAAGACTACGCCAGGCCGGCCACACGGAATAGATGGGTTTTCAGGGCTTGGCGAAAAAGGCGCAGGTCCGCAGTTGTACGTAGGTCAGGGGGGGGGTAGGTCATTCCAGAGGGCAGGAGCTGCCACAGAGAAGGCTCTCCCCCTGGGGGTCGCCAGCCGGCATTGACTGGCCGATGGCACCCTAAGGAGGCCCTCTCTGTGGGAGCGGACTGGTCGAAGGGAGGTAAGTGTCCAGGAGGACGCCCAAGTTGCAGGCCCTCTCCACAAGGGCTAATGACTCGCCCCAGATAGCCAGGATGGAGCCAACTGGCTATGTCATGACGCCGGAAACCACAGCCACTCGGTCTTGGACGGGTTGAGTCGAAGCCTGTTCCTCCCCATCCAGACTCGCACGGCCTCCAGGCACCGGGATATCACTTCCGCGGCATCGTTGGGGTGGTCCGGGGTGGAGATGTACAGCTAGATGTCATCTGCGTACTGATGAAACTCCACCCCGAAACCACGGATGATCTCACCCAGTGGCTTCATATAAATGTTGAACAGGAGAGGCGAGAGGACCGACCCCTTTGGTACCCCACAAGTGAGGCACCTCAAGGTCGACCTCTGCCCCCCTGCCAACACAAATTGCGACCGGTCGAGAGATAGGAGAACCACCGTAAAACGGTGCCCCCCAACCCCAACCGGTGCAACAAGATACCATGGTCGATGGTATCAAAAGCCGCTGAGAGGTCTAACAGGACCAGGATAGAGGAACATCCTCTATCCCGAGCCCTCCAGAGATCATCAACCAACGCGACCAATGCCATTTCCGTGCTGTGCCCAGGCCGGAAGCCGGACTGGCACGAGTCTAGATAGACAGTTTCTTCCAGGTGCTGAGGGAGCTGTCGTGCCACCACACTTATTTATTTATTTATTTNGAGATAGCCAGGTCCAATGCCATGGAGTGCTTTAAAGGTGGTAACTAACACCTTAAAGCGCACCCGGGAGGCCACTGGCAACCAGTGCAGCTCGCGCAGCAGCGGTGTTACATGGGAGCGACGAGTCCCTCCCAGCACCGCCCGCGCGGCCGCATTCTGGACCAGTTGAAGCCTCCGGGTGCTCCTCAAAGGGAGCCCCTTTGGAGACAAGCATATTGCAGTTAGTCACCATTGTCCAGTAGTTACTGCAATCAGGAAAGAAAGTTGGCACATTGCGAGGATCATCACTCCATGAAATAATCTTTAGTGGGCTTCCTCAGTGGGTATCCCCTAGGGCAAGAGTGGGGAACGATGCTGCTGGCTCAGGAATTCTGGGAGTTGAAGTCCACAAGTCATAAAAGAGCCAAGGTTCCCCACCCCTGCCCTAGAGCAGTGGTTCTCAACCTTTTTAATGCCGTGACCCCAACCGGTCGTAAGTCGAGGACTAAACCGGTCGTAAGTCGAGGACTAAACTGGTCGTAAGTCGAGGACTACCCAACCGGTCATAAGTCGAGGACTTTCCCTGCCCGGGAGCACCGCGTATGCGTGGTTCCGCCCCCTGCGCCGGCCGAGGCGTAGCTGGCAAGCGGCAGAGATGGAGCAGGCTGACCACCAGCTGGCCCAGCCCAAGGGAGGTAAGGCACCCGCCAGAAAAGGGGAAAAAAATGGCGGACAAAAAAATGGCGGACAGCCTTGCCTGGCGACCGTGAAATGGTCAATCGACCCCAAATGGGGTCCCGACCCACAGGTTGAGAAACACTGCCCTAGAGGGTATTCCTGTTGACTCCCATAATTCCTAGTTTAAAAATTAAGAAATAACCTCATTGTGCTCCAAACAGGCAATCATGATCTCTGATAGGATGACCACTCCAGTTCTTCCTACACCAGCACTGCAGTGCACCAGTAGAGGGGGATTGGGAATCGCAGGGTCTGCAGTACTGTTGGTATGGCGGCGTACTGACTGTATCTCTTCCAAATATGCTATTGGATCCAGAGGAAAAGAAGAAAGGGGAAAATATTTAAATTAGATATCACTGATATATTTTTGGGACTTTGTAGTAAGAGAAATGTATATCTGAATTCCAACTATGTATTGAACTATTCAACTTTTGACTTCAGAAATTAAACAAAACT